TCCCTGTACTACCTAGTGGCCATTTTTCTGGACCTGCCCAGCAAGAAATCCTTCCCGTTACACTTAGGTGCCATGATGGGCCTGGCAACTCAGGTGTGTTGATCAGAAGCAGAAAAAGAAATTACTTGATTGCATCAGCAGCAGTTGACCTAAGAGTACTGCTACAATAAATAATTTTTCTTAATATTTCTGTTGGAAGATTTCTTCTCAAAAAATCCCAGTCATGGACTTCATATAGTCATCCTAAAACATAGTTCCCAAACCTATTGCCATTGTCCAAAGCTTCAATTACCATTCAATCAAGTGACTAAAGAACAAAACCCCTTATTTTTTAAATAATTCTTAGTATTTAGTAATGCTGTATTACAGATGGGGGTTTCTTACTCTTTTTATTTATTTTTTTTCTCCTTCAGGATTCAGAGCTTCTTTAAGTATTCTTTGTTGCTAGTCTGGCTTGACTGAAAAGTACTGTGTGTTTGTTTTGTGTCTGCATGTGTGATACCAACTGTTGAAACCTGCTTGTGAGGGCTTATGCTCAAGGATGTTCCACAGTTGGCTCCCTGGCAGAATCTCTCATCACCAGTGACAATGATGTCTCTGTGTGGAGAAGAGTCTGTTTTATAATATTACACTTGTTATAACCTTAATTTTACTGTTGGGGCATGATTATGATTTCATTTACATTAATCAAAATAATGAGTCACTCCATTCATGTCAATACTATTAAAGAGCTATACAGACAAGAGTTCAGAATCAGGCTTCTCGTGTTTAATCTGAAAGGTACCTGAATTACTTCATTAAAGATAGATACTGAAGGACAGATCCTCTGCTTACTTTGCATTACTCAGTCATGCTATTAGGTTAAAACACCAAATAACTATAATGACAGCTGGCAATGTGTCACAGTACATGGGTTTTCGTTTTTTCCCAGGGTACAGAAAAGACCCCCAAATTAATGAGATTTAAGGTAATATTTCAAGCATGACAAAGTTACCATATTAGATCTCACTGCCTTTAGAAGTTCACTTTACGGTTTCAAAACCTTATTTCCTTCCTTTGTTGTTGTTTTTGGTTTGTTTTCATGTCAGTCTTACATAACTTGAATGCAAAAGATCTAAAGCCAAACAAGACCTTAGAGACTGCAGTAAGTTTTACAGCCTTCTCCATAACATTGTTTGGTGAATATAGAAGCATCAAAACAGTGACCACAATTCATAAATATGTTTTTTTAGGTATCTCATAAAGTACTATCAAATATTCATTCTCTTTTTAAAAAAGAGAAAACCATGTTAATTTTCCAAAATACAGTAATTCTAAACAAATAAAAGGTTTTGTATTGTTGTCTGTTGTCTGCTCAAACAGAGAAACTGTGAAGGGGATGATGTGCCTTAATTTAGACTAAATATTTTTGGAATTTCATGTATTTAAATTACATTCAAGGTCCATGTGAATCTAAAAAAAAATATTAAGGGGGGAAAAATAATCTAAAGAGGTCTAGCAAGCTATCAGAATATTGCTGTATTATATTTCTCCAGATTTTTTCCATTTTTAAAGTAAAATAGTTATTGGCATTTGAGAACATTTTCTAGAAATGTTTGACGTATTACAGGCCCTAGAAACTATCCCTGCCATAAATACTGTCAGCTTCACTACAAGCACATGCCCCAAGACACCAAATCAGAGCATTGAGGATTTTATCAACAAATCAGGACCAAAAGGAAGCTGAAATAAGGGATCTTTTACTATGTTTTCTATATGTCTCATATATATAGTTCAGTGGGAATAGCAAAAATATTTTCTCCCCAGTTCCCAATGAAAGCTTTCTTTTCACCCTGCTAGACCATGTGTTCAGTTTTCTACCCTACACTTCCTCAGCATGAGAAAATTCTTGTACATCAAAGCAATAAGATCTTGTCCTCAGGCTGAATACAAATGTTAGCTAAACCACTGGTGCCTTTTAAGAGAACCTTGATATAATTTCCACTCTTAGTATGGGAATTACACATTTTTCCTATCTTTGCGATAACATTGCTTTGTATTTCAGTAAGCACCTGGGCACAGAGCTTAGCTATAAGTCAACAGACTTTACACATCTGTGCTGAAAAACAATTAGATATCTCAGTCTTTGTTTTTCAATAAACTAAAGTGAATGAGAAACTTAAGAAATATAGAACAGAGAAGTGTCCTACCGTGGTTGTCTTTATCCGTCCTCCTGGTTGTGTACAGGTCCAGCCTGATTTATTGATTAGCAAATCGCAGCCTTCTCCTTCTAAACATGGGAGCATTTCACACCACTGTTTTGTTTTGATAATTCGTGCTATGCAGAAAAGAAGAAAAAAAAAACAACAACCAAAAACAATTTGCAGGAGAATTCACATGTCACTTATCTCTATACACTTCCTTATTTGAGTCGTCTACTTTCATCATCTGATTGTGCAACCACAGGTTATGATGTAGACAGTCCTAGGCAATTTCAAAAATTATTTACAACACTTGCTGTGCCAACAAATTTAATAATAAAAATAGAACTTAAAAAGCAACAATAAAACAAATGACAGCCTTTTGTAAATCAAAATAACATAAAAGCTAATTTTCTCATTTCATGCTTCTTACAGCCACCTTTGACTGGGATCCATTGTGTTAGACTTTGTATACCGAGCAGACACTCCTTTTCCTAAAGTGCTTACAGTGTAAATAGACATGAGACCCACAGTGAAGAGAGAAAAGCTACAGTAAACAGGGAGAGGGGTCAATACAATGACAGCAATTGTGAAATTCTGTGATACTTGCAATGATGCAGGCATAGTTAGATGCAGAAACCAGGAACATAAGAAGGATAGGTGTTGAATGAAGCAGAGTTTGGGAAATCATGAGGAAGGTGACAATAAGCAGAGGGAAAAGACGGAAGCAAACACTCTGTTACTACAATGGAAAGTCGTTAGGAAGGTCTCTACTGTCCAAAAGGTAGCGTGTTGCATGCTTTGTGGTTCCTACTAACACTTATGTCTCTGGTAAACTGGTTCTGCAGAATTTCCGCAAAATCACACACAGCAAGCGGTCTCGGAACAACAGAGCTCTGGCTGCATCAAAGTAGATGCAGAGGAGCTGTAGAGAAAAGTTTTTCTTCATGGCAAGGAGAAAAGGGGCTTTAATTTCTGTAGACTTCTTTCTGGATTGTAATACTACTTCTTTTGAGTTCACCTCTGTAGTATCTGGGTTCTTTCTCACAGAATATTAAGCAATATGACTACTATCTAGTATTTTGTTATTCTTTCACTCCCTTCCTGTGGGCAAAATTGTTAGGCAGGGTGTTAGTTTGGGATACTTTTCATAAAATACATATACAGAGATGCACTCACTTGGTGCCACTTGGCACATAGTGCCATATACTCATGCTAACCAAGATAAGGTCTCCCAGAAAATTTATCTTTTGCTTAGACTGTAAGGCTTGCAGTTCACAGAAAATGGTCCTCAGTTCCTTCAGAGATCATGTCAGCTATCCTGTAAGAAAGCTTCACCACCTCAATTTGTAGTTAAGTTTCCTAAAATTCAAGGGTAGAACAAGTTCCACTAACAGGAGCACACATCACATCTTCCTCTATGTTGATGTGTGACATCAATACATGCTATATATCTTGAACAGTCACAAGCCCAAGAGAGAACTATAGGAGTAATAAGCAGCAAGATAAGGGTATAAGAAGCTAATGATGCTCCCAATTAATTTTGGGTTCAAGAAACTTAAAACTTAAAAGCAGACATTTATACCCGGTGGCAGCTGCAACTCCTTACGCTCACCTAAATGCGTCATTCAGTCTCCCTACACACTCGCTTCCTCTGTCTGAAACCTACTTAAGAATACAATTCTCAATGCCACTGGATCATGGCAAGAAAAGGAAAGAGAAGTGTAATTTAAAGTCTTTTAATAACATTCTTTCCAAGATTTTAACATGAAACTACTTGTGTCCTTGGTCCCAGTACAATTGTTGGCAAGCTCTAGCAATATAATGAACACCGATTTCTTTCAGTAGAAGCTCAATCTGAAATTCATATTAAGATTTTCATTATGAAAAACACTCCCAAATGTCTATATAGGAATTTGCACTGTTCATTAGGCAATACATATAGCTGGAGGAATGATTCCCAAACAATTTTCATAACTACAATTTCTTGAAGTAAAGCCTCTAAGCTTTTATAGCACATAATACACAGAAATCTGGGTTGTACTTCAGGTCCATAGGTGCTGCTCTACTGAGAGCTGGATCACAGCAGTTTTGCAGGCTCACATCTCCAATGTTACAGACAATAGCCTCATCCTTCCTGAGTGAAGGCATGTGTCCAGCTGTGGGCTTTGCAAGAAAAATTTAGTAAAAGCTTAACATCAAACCTTACCCATTCTAATGCCTTTTTTTTTTTTTTTTTTTTTTTCCAATTCATATATCAAAATGACTATTTCTATCAATGTTTCAACAATATGAAGGATCACTGAAAGACTGAATATTCAGTTAAGCTCAAAAATATGTACTAGATTGCCTCTATTATCTCAGGTGGGAGGTTTTCCTGGAAACATAATTTGAATTAATCTATAAAAAAGTATTTGTCTCCTCTGTGAATTGCTCTTACTGTTTGCTTAGTTGCTAAATCTGAATGTAGCTACCAGTAATATCCCAAATATATGGAAATCATGCTCTTTGTATTGACTATATTCACACAAATTTGGAACATGTCAAGAGTATTTTACAGAACATTAAGTCTAAAACATTGCTGTGTTAACTGTATAAACTAGCTCATGCATTTAGGCATTGAGAACCGGAACAAATTACTTTTGTAGGGAA